CATCATCATCATCACCATCACTACCATCACCATCATCATCACTAACTATATCACCACCATCACCATCATCATGTAAAGGAAAATTATAGTCGGCGGATGACTTCAACATCAAGAATCTGGCAGGTTTCTGATCAGAATACAGAACTGTAAGATAGAAGTGACTGCTTGCCTGAGGCTTATTCATTCCTTCACACATGTACTGAGTGCCTTCTAGGAACAAGGCTCTGTTGTGGGCAATGGGGATGTAGCAGACACCATCTGTTTTCTGCCCATGTTCCCTCACCCTTGCCACTTCAGTGCCCACCAGCCCAAGATCCACCAGCCTTCACAGCCCGTGCCTGGGAAATACCACCCTTCATCTTGCCCCCCACCTTGGCCTCAACCAATAACCATTGGGCCTTGGTGGATAAACACCCCAGCTCCTTCCCTGAGGTTCATTCCACTGTCCCCAGAGTTCCTGAGCACAATAAAGCTCCAGGTGCCCACAGGGGTAACTGGATTGGCTGCCTTCCCTTCCTGCCTCACTCCCCCAGCCCTCACCATTATTCCCTGGGGTCCCTTCACATATAAACTACCTGCATTTGGATCCTGGTCTCAGGATGTGCTTCTGGGGGAACCCAGACCAAGACAGGAATGTGGAGACTGAGGAGTTCAGAGGGGCCCAACAGATGAGGGAAGTGCTGCATGGGGTCTACAGAAGCCCCTAACTCAGCCAGGAAGTGGCCAGTGCTGACTTCCAGGGACAGGCAAGGCTCGAGCTGAGTCTTAAAGGACAGGTCCAAATGATGCTCAATGAAGAGCAGAGACTGAAGAAGCTCTGAGGCGGGTTGGAGGGCTCGGCACTCCCAGAGAATGCCAAGTCACTGGGGGGAGGGTTCGGCTGCAGTGTGAGGCGGAAAGTGGCAGGAGGGGTGGGCAGAGGCAGGGCCCGGGGGCTGTATAAGCCATGCGAGTGAGTCCGGGCTTCCCCCTGAGGATGAAGTGAGTCTCCAACAGCATTTCAGTGGGGAGTGTGGAACAGGACCTGAGTTACGGTGTGGCAAGAAAACGGAGCTGGACACACAGGTGGGCACTCAGTTATTCAGCCAGACCGCAGGGGTTCTCCGCACTGGCCACTCGCAGGGTCCTGGACATGAGCGCTTGTCCGTAGTTCCCCAGGGGATTCTGATGTCCACCCGGGATTGAGACCCATTGAACTGGAGGATAAACTTCAACTTCACAACCATCACCAAGCAAACGACCCCCCGGGAAGAAGATGCGTGCGGAGACTCACCTGATATCTGGTGAACATGCTTCTCTTGAAACACTGATAGCGAACCATGAAGAAAAGTGTGACCCAGGTCAGCACAAGGGAGACGATGAAGGCCATGAAGAACCCGGCTGCGTGAAGGCCATGGTTTGGTAGAACCTACGGGGACAAGAGCGTGACAGGGACTCACCTGCGGTCATACTTCACATCTTTCAAGTGGAGCTACAACTTACTTATAGCAGAACAAGGATGGAGTCAGCGAGACCGAGCTGGGGCTGGACCCAACTTGCCACCTACTAGGTGGTTCCCTTAAGACACCGGTTCTCAACCTGCAGGTCGCGACCCCTTTGGGGGTCGAACGACCCTTTCACAGGGGTCGCCTAAGACCATCGGAAAACACATATATAATTACATATTGTTTTTGTGATGAATCACTATGCTTTCATTATGTTCAATTTGTAACAATGAAATTAGGGGTCACCACAACATGAGGAACTGTATTAAAGGGTCGCGGCATTAGGAAGGTTGAGAACCACTGCCTTAAGAGAAATCTAGTTTATCTATTTTTCCTTTTGTCGCCTGTGCTTTTGGTGTCATAGCCAAGAAATCATTGCCAATCCAATGCCATGAAGCTTTCCCTCTATGTTTTCTTCTAAGAGTTTCATAGTTTTAGATCTTACATTTGTCTTTGATCATTTTGGGCTAATTTTGGTAGATGCCGTAAGGTAAGGGCTCAACTTCATTCTTGTGCATGTGGAGATCCAGTTTCCCCAACATCATTTGTTGAAATGACTGTCCTTGCCCCCATTGCATGGTCTTGTCGCTCTTGTTGGAAATCATTTGACTATACATGTGAGGTTTTATCCTGGGCTTTTGATTCTATTCCATTGGTCCATGTCTGTCTTTATGCCAGTACCCTGCAGGTTTGATCACTGTAGCTTTGTGGTACGTTTTGAAGTCAGGAAGTGTATGACTCCCAGTTTTGTTCTTTTTTAGGTTATTTTGGCAATTCAGAGTTCCTTGGGAGTCCATATGAATTTTAGGATGGGTTTTCCTATTTCTACAAAAAGATGCCATTGGCATTTTGACAGAAATTGCATTCAATCTGTAGATCAGAACAACATGAGGTCTTCCGGTCCTCGTGCAAGGATGGTTGTGTCTCCTCTCATTTCCCTCAGCAGCACTTTGTGGTGCTCAGTGTACAAGTCTTTCTCCTCTTGGTTAAGTTTCTTCCCCAGTACCCGATTCTCTTTGATGCTACAGTAAATGAAATTGTTTTCATAATTTCCTTTTTGTATTGTTCATTGTAAGTGGACAGACATGCACTGATTTGTGGGTGCTGAACTTTTAATAGCATAATGCTTATGTCCTAATGTAACATTTTTAAAGAAGATACAAAACTATATGCACTAGAAAACTCCAATTTCATTAAAGTAAAAATAACATCTATGCGCACAGACACGCATGTAACCCAGAGCTGGTCCGCAGTGGGCCTGGGATGCACACCCGGCAGCCTGGCTGTAGTCTTCGTGCCACAGCTGCCTATCGGGCTCCAGCCTCAGCGGACCTTCCCCCAGGAGCCCTGCCCCTGGGTCCTCAGATGCACGCAGCCCCAGCCTGCTGTGGGGCACGGCTGCCCCCCCCCCCCCCAGGTTCTGAGAGGGGACTGCACCCCGTGGGCATAAACACACCCAGGGCAGCAGGAGCGCCCAGGCTGGACCTTCCTCTTACCGTTACTGCTTCCTCTGCTGTGATGGTGAGCAGGGCTTTCAGCTGTGTTCTGTTCTAGAAAACAAACAAAAACGTGTTGGTCAGCGGGTTTTGGAGTCTGACGCGTGGGGTAACGTTTGGTGTACTTCCCACCCACTGTGCCCAGAGCCCTAAGGGCCTGGCTGTGGGGGTGTCAGAGCGTGCAGGGGTCTTAGTCCCGTCAGGGGGGGAGGGGGACCTGGGAAGCTGCCTTCTCTCCCAGAGGCGCTGTGGCTCCTACCCCGTGTCCTCACTGACACACTGGCAGCCAGCTGCAGCCGAGCGCAACGGCCAGGGTCCTAAACCAGCTCACACTGCGCGCTCCTCTCCCTCGGCCCCGCCCTGTCTTCCGACACCCAAGGCCCAAGCAGACAGGAGCTTCAAGCGCTCGGAGCTGGTCTTCGCCTCTGCAAAACGTCCATCCTCACCCGGGCTCACGGCAAACACTCCGGGCTGGGAAACATGGTCCGGTCAGCGCGTGAAGTCGGAGGCGCGGCCGGGTCCCGCCCTGCAGGACCCGGGGCTGCGCTGCCACTGGCCCCGAGTTGCCATGTTGGCTCTGACAACCGTGTCATCTGAGACTTGATTTAACCCACCCGGTTGCCAGGCCTCTGAAATCGGGAGTGCTTCTTCTAGGCCAGTGGTTCTCAACCTTGGCTGCACATTAGAGTCACCTGGGAATCTTTTTAAAATCCTGATTTCTGGGCCTCATCCTCTGGAAATTCTGTTTCTTTGTTACTAATGTGGCCTCACCCCATAACAGAGAAACAGAATTTCCAGAGGATGAGGCTCAGAAATCAGGATTTTAAAAAGATTCCCAGGTGATTCTAATGTGCAGCCAAGGTTGAGAACCACTGTTCTAGGCTGTTTTATTTCTATTTTTTTACTCTTCTTTGTCCTCTGTCCTTGACTTTGTACTGAATTATTTTCTGAGAGATTTGTCTTTTCTGACGGTTTCATATTGTTTTCTTGTATCTGGTCCTTCCCTTTTGGAATCTTCCATTTGATCTAACTTTACCTGGGATGTTCCCCCTATTGCAGCAGCAACGCCACACACAGGCCCGTCAGCCTCGGGTGCGAGGGCCCAGCAGCTGTGGGTCTGAGTCTGCCGCTGCCCTGTGGCCTGGGCAGTCCCCTCTGAGTCTTGTTTCCCAGGCGCGTGAATATCCTTTCTCCAGGGGCTGACGCCAGAACTAAATGGCGAAAGCAACTAGCACGTGAGCTGCTTGAGGACAAGGACAGAACCTCCCCCTCCCGGGCCCCCAGGGTGTGCACAGCGCCTGGCACACGCCACACAACCAGGGCATTCATCGCCCACAGGGATTAACAGAGAGGTGAATGCATGGGCTGAATTGTGCCCCGCCCCCCAAATCCCCAGGGTGAAGCCCTACCCCAGTGAGACAGGATGTGACTGTGATTAGAGATGGGGTCCTCTCAGGGGTCATTAAGGTCAGACGAGGCCATCAGGGTGGGCTCTGTCCAGTGGGGACTGGTGGCCTTATGGGGAGGGGAGGACACAGAGGGACAGGCCTCAGAGGGAACCACCCTGCGGACACCCTGACCTCGGACTCCAGCCTCCCGGTGTGAGGGCGTAAGTTGCTGTTTTAAGCCATCTCATCCGCGGCACTTGGTCATGCAGCTCCCGCAAACCAACCAGGGTGAAGGCCACTGGCTGGATGCTGGTTCTGCGCACGGCACGGCAGGAGCATCAACATCTAGTATCAGTGATCCTCCTAAGTCTGCCGCGGCCCACGGCGTTCAGTGATCACTCAGGGTCACAGCGAGGGGCGAGGGGCCCCGGCTCACGGCAAAGTGTGTGAGATGCCTGGGCCTGTGCACTTATCCGGAATTTGATGTCACTGAAGGAGGAAGGCAGGGAGTGAGGAAGAGTCAGGGGAGGGAGGGAGGGAGGGAGGAAGAGTCAGGGGAGGGAGGAACAGATCGTGTGCCCTACGTGTGGATGTTGCTAAAACCACCTCCCGGGCAGTGAGCAGGCAGACAGCAGAGCGACGCAGCCATACGCACCGCGGAGGCGCTCTGGAAGGTGAGCAGGGCCGGCAGCACCAGGACCTCTCCACGCCCAAGGTCCCCGGCCTCCAGCGAGGCTGTGTAGCTGACTGAGAAGGAGTCTCCGACTGCTCAGAGAGAAGGGACAGGGGGGTCACGACAGGGCCTCTGCCACACAGCCACGCCCACCTCACCCCAGACACCCACGTCTCACCACCAACAGGTAGTTAGCCAGCCATGCCCGACACCCCCTCTGAGACTCCCCCACCTGTTAGCAGGGAGAGTATGCTCACCCTTGGCGCCCTGGCTTTTCCCTTGGGAGGGGCTGTGGGCAGGTGCCAGGGGCAGGAGCCCCTCTCTGCTCCTGTGATGTCATACCTGCCCCTCCCCGCCAGCACTGCCTCAGACGGGGTCTGTCTCCCGATGCAGGATGTGTTCAGCTCACTCTTGTAGGAAATCTAGAACCTTCCTGTTTGCTTCGGAATCCAGGCGGGATGTGTTCATCCCAGCATCCCATCCACGCTAAGGGAAGGCATCTGCAGGTCTGTGGGCCCTGGTGACAGGGTACCCACTGCCGTGTGGACACGCCAGGCAGCGGGGTCTGCGCACAGCAAGCGGCGCCAAGCCAGGGCCTGCAGGTCTTACCTACGCATGGCCTCCAACTTCGCCTCCTTGTGTGACAGGCTATACCAGCCTAGCATGGGCTCCATCTCTCTGTACTCACACCTCTCTCCGGCATATCCCAGAACGGGCTCCGCTTACTGAGTGATGGCAATTTTGGTCATGTGGGTGATGGATGTACTGGGGTTCACTATAAATCCATCTTTGTTCATGTTTGAAATAAGAATGAAATATAGCCCTGGCTGGTTTGGCTCAGTGAATAGAGCATCGGCCTGCGGACTGAAGGGTCCCAGGTTCGATTCCGGCCAAGGGCACATGCCTGGGTTGCGGGCGCGATCCCCAGTGGGGGGCGTGCAGAAGGCAGCAGATC